AATGACCCCATCGGGGAAGTGTCCATCCCCCTCAACAAGGTGGACCTGACCCAGATGCAGACCTTCTGGAAGGATCTGAAGCCATGCAGCGATGGGAGTGTAAGGCTCCCCCTGTGGGCCCCTGTCTGGGGGGCTGGCAGATCTGGTCCTAGTCCCCCCTCAACCTTAGGAATGTCAAGGGGGTTGTGGGGAGGGGGTGCAGATGGGCCACCTCGATGGAGCAGAGTTTCCACCAGCAGTCTCAGCACTTGGGGGACTCGCCTGAGCTGTGACAAAGAACCAGGGCTCTGTTCAGGGGCCCTGTGGGGGGCGGCACATAGACCTGCCAGATGTAGGGACACCACGTGTGACAGAGGTGATAGCAGAGAGGGGTGCGGGGTAAGCACCCAGGTCAGGGTGGAGGGGGCCTGGGGCAGTGGGGCCAGCCAGAGGGCTAGATCACCATTCCCTCCTCCTAGTCCCCACACCCCTCCCCACGGCCCAGCCTCACCCCTCCGCTTGTCCCTCCCAGGGGAGCCGAGGGGAGCTGCTCTTGTCTCTCTGCTACAACCCCTCTGCCAACTCCATCATCGTGAACATCATCAAAGCCCGGAACCTCAAAGCCATGGACATCGGGGGCACGTCAGGTGCTGGCCCTTCTCGCAGCAAAGGGTGGACGGGCCGGGGAGTTTCTGGTGACATGGGGGTCACACTGGATGTGGAGAGCAGGGCCCACGCTGTGGCCCTCACCCCTGACCCCCACACCCCAACTCGGGTCCCAACTCCTCTACCCTAGAGCCCTGGGTGGTGGCCCCCCTTTGGAGCATCCTCGGGGTCAGTGTCATCTTGGGCTGTCCTTCCCAGAATCAGGAAGAAAGGGACCACAGTTGCGGAGACCTGGGTTCTAGCCCCAGCTCTGACATCACTTGTCTGTGGCCTCAGGCAAGACCTGGCCTCTCTGGGGCAGTTTCCTTGTTCATGTCCACAGGAGGGCACCAGGAATGGCTCAAGTCCCTTCCAGCTCCTCCATCCACTGGTCCCTCAGATCCCCTTATTCTTGCTTGGGGCTTTCCTCACGCTCTGGGGAAAGCACACAGCCCCTCCTGCCCCAGCTGCCACACCTGGAAGGCGAAGGGGATCCCCTACTGCCCCTCTGACCCTTCCCTGACCTGTCCCCCAGACCCCTACGTGAAGGTGTGGCTGATGTACAAGGACAAGCGTGTGGAGAAGAAGAAGACGGTGACGATGAAGAGGAACCTGAACCCCATCTTCAACGAGTCGTTTGCCTTTGATATCCCCACGGAGAAGCTGAGGGAGACGACCATCGTCATCACCGTCATGGACAAGGACAGACTCAGCCGCAATGACGTCATCGGCAAGGTAGGGGGCAAGGCAGGTGGGGGCCGCACACAGCTGGCACCTGGCAAGGGTCTGTCCCGAAAAGAAGCAGCGGGGGTGGTGGGCGAGCGCAGGGCTGCGCAGTGGGAGACAGAGTCAGTCCCTTCGCCTCTCTGAGCTTCCATTTCTTTTCTTTTTTTTTTTTTTTTTTTGGTGAGGAAGACCAGCCCTGAGCTAACATCTGATGCCAATCCTCCTCTTTTTTGCTGAGGAAGATTGGCCCTGGGCTAACCTCCATGCCCATCTTCCTCTACTTTATATGGGACGCTGCCACAGCATGGCTTGACAAGCGATGCATTGGTGCGCGCCCAGGATCCAAACCTGTGAACCTCGGGCCACCGAAGCGGAGTGCGCGCACTTAACCACTGCGCCACCGGGCCAGCCCTGAGCTTCCATTTCTGAAATGAGGGGATTGGACGAGATCCTCACTAGGTGTCCTTCTGTGGGTCGATCAGTTCAGGACAGACCACTGGAAGGGCAGGGAAAGCAGGAGGTAGGAAAAAGATGTGCCCTGGATCCAAAAAGAGGTTTTCAGGACAGGACCCTCAGACAGGGTAAGGACCTCAGAGCAGTGTCACCCGGGTCCCACCTGCAGAGGGCAAGCTGTGTGGGCAGCGTCAAGAGCTACAGTCAGACTCCGAACACCTGGCTTCTCTTCCCACCTCATCTGCTGCCAAACAGCTGTGTGATGTTGGGCACATCACTTTTCTCTCTGATCTCCAGTGTTCTCATTCATAAATGGAGCTACTAATACAGACCCTACAGCCTTCACAGGGTGGTGTAAGAATGGCCTGAGATATGTGGACGTTCTCCTTGAAGAAAATGACCTCTCCTCATCGTATGAACAAAATATCTATGCCTGGCTTTGAGCTTTTCTAGGATGTGATTCTGTGACATCGACCCTTCTGTTTTTCTACTTTGAAATATCTGTTCCTGTGTTTGTTTATGGTTTAGTGTTGTGAATGTGGGCTTGGGAATCAGACCACCTGGGTCCAGGCCCCAGTCCTACCTCTTAACAGTCATGACCTTTCTCAGCCTCATCTCCTCCTCTTAAAATGAGAGTAAGACAGTCCCAACTTCACAGTGTGCTGGGAGGATTAAATAAGATAACACAGGTGAGCCGCTTAGCACCATACTTGGCACGTATATGTTAATTACTATTATAATAAAAGTTATTTTTGAGATGTTCCTACTAAGGGCATGTGCGTCCATTCAGACGTGGAGGTTTGACCAGGAACAGTGCAGGAAGCCAGTGATCAGGGCGGGCGGAGAGGAAGGGTAGATGCCAGGAGCAAGTGAGGGGAGATGATGGATCACTGGGGCATGGGTCTGTATGGGGGAAACAGGAAAGGGCCCCCACAGGGAAGGGGGCTGAGGTGGAGGCACCCACAGACAGATGGGAATGGAGAACTTAGCTATTGGGGGTGAGGGAAGTAGCTGGTCTCAAAGAGAGCTGCCTGCCATGTAGCTAGGTCCTAGGAGCATGGCTGGCCTACCTGTGGTCACAGGTGGGATGGTTCCCCAGGATGGCGTCGTCCATAACCCAGCAAGACCATGTGTTCTGAGCAGGGCTCGGAGCCTGCTGAGTCCCCTCCTTGACCAGCTCAGGCCAAGGATCAAGTAACCATATCTACTTCTAAGCTCTTCTGAAGCTTAGCCTTAGATCTCAATTATAGCTCCTTTAAAACAGTCCTACTTTCTGCTGGGTAAACCAAGCTGAAGGTGGATTTGTTCTCACTTTGGGCCAGGGAGCTTAGGGAGCCCTAGCTCTTAGCTAGCCACCAGTCACAAGGCTTGGGGCAGCTGGGGGATCCTGCCCACAGCCCCACAAGGCTGGGAAGCCCCTAACACAGAGGCCACCTGGGTCAAGCTGGTAGGATAGAGCCCAAAAGACCTGGATTTGCATCCCTCTGCACCACTTATAAATTCTGTGACTGTGGGGAAGTCTCTTAACTCCCTGTACCTTAGTTTCTCCATCTGTAAAGTGGGGATAATAATATACCTACCTCAAACACAACAGGTCAAGGGTCTAATTTGGAAGGGCCAGGCATGCCCAGGCTCCCAGGGGAGGCCCAGCAAGGAAAATGGGTCACACTGGCAGAAGGGAGGGAGGAGAGGGCCTCTGTGGTTGTCACTGCGGGTGGAGGCCTCTTCTCTCCATGATCATGTCTTTGTGGAAATGGAGTGTCACCCCCTGGTGGGGGTAGGGGACGATGCCTCGAGGAGTGCCACTAACGCCGTCCTCTTTCCTTTCTCCCCAGATCTATCTGTCCTGGAAGAGCGGGCCCGGGGAAGTGAAACACTGGAAGGACATGATTGCCCGTCCCCGGCAGCCTGTGGCCCAGTGGCACCAGCTGAAGGCCTGAGTGGGGCCAAGGAAGGCCCAGGGGGCTGAGGGCCTGGGTCCCATCATGACCACACCACTTTATGCACAACGCCCGGCCTGGCCCCCCTGCCATGGGTGAGGGGAGGACCCTGAGGGCTCGGCCAGGGAGGGGTCCCAGGAATCTATTGGGCCTCATTTCTAGGAAGTACCAGCCCCATCCCCCACCGGTCCAGCTCTGGGGGAGGGGCTCTGGGAGCCATTTTCCTGCTTTGCCCCTTCCCTTCCTGACTTGCTGATACTAAAGAAGTGGGGGAGAGCGCGAGAGCCAGACGGGCAGATGGGCAGATCCCTCCAGAGGCCCGCCAGGTGGGCACGGTCCCCCGTTTTCTTTAAGGCAGTGCCTGGAGTGGAGAGAAGCCGCCCCCTCCCCAGCCCACGATGTGGGCCCAGGAAGAGGGGAGGCCGAGGCGTTTGGCCCCGGCCTGGCCAGGAGAGGCCCGTCCCAGGGCAGTTTCAGGTGCCGGCTGGGCCCTGAATGCCGAGGATAGTATATAGCCTGCTCCGGGGTCCTGGAGCCGCAGCTCTGTGTACTTGTGTTGTGTCCACCACATGTGTGTGCGTGTGTGTGTGTGTGTGTGTATGGGGGTGGGGGCACTTGCTCCCTGTCCTCCTGGGGCCGGCAGTGCTGAAGACTGCAGAGAGGGCAGGGTTTCATGAAGTGAGGTAGGGCTGGAGGCTGGGAGGGGTCAATGCACAGAGCCAGGGGGTGGGAGAGGAGAGGCAGGTGAGGGGTGAGTGGGGCGGGGAGGGAGAAGTGTGGTGGGGAGAGGGGCAGACACTGGAGCTGGGCTGAGAACTGGGCTGCCTTCTGCCATCCTTCCCCCCAGTGCCCTTCTCTGCTCAGAGTTCTCCAGTAGCTTCCCCAGCGATTTCATCTCTTGAACATTGCTTCACATCTTTCAGGTACCTGTTGTATGCATCACATTCCACCAGGAGTCACCTGCTCCCTTTCCTTCTCAGGGGTCTTGAGCCCCCACTAGGTCTCTTCCCTAACACCCTCATCCAAAGACACCCTCCGCCTTCCCAGATCTCATATCCCAGCCACGCTGGCGATATTCTCCACGTTTGCTCGCTTCCTTCCCCTTCCTCGTCTCTCTGTGCACACCTCCCCATCTGCACACTCCACCCCTCCATCCCCTGGTTTCTGATCTTCCATCACCCGACCTTCCCCGGAATGTCTTCTCACCTTCCCTACTGCGCCTGGTCCCTCAGAGCAGCTCCTTCTGCCCCTCTTAGTTCAGGCCAAGGAAGCAGGGAAAATTCCAGGATTCTATGAGTTCTGAGATAGCCCCACACAAAGAAGCTGTGGTGTCTCCGCCTCAGCTGCTGCAGAGACTAGAACTGGCTTCCCCTTGGAGACAGCAGATTTCGGGATGATCCTTGCTTAAGCCCGCGCATCCCCAGGCGAGTCCTGGTATTGATAACAAGACAGCTGGTGACAGCCTCGAATGCAGGGTCCCGCGAGCCAGGCCTGACGTTCTGGCACGCACCGCCAGGGGGAGCCCGGACACCACAGTCTGCGGCCGTGGTCTGGGACCACAGCTCTACCCCAGACGGGCCTGACGCCCCAGGAAAGGACACTCTGGATAGGGTCCCCACTTACAGAGCACGGCAAGAGCATAGGCATTTGAGAACCATTTTCCTACAGTAGGCTTCCCCTTGAGCTGAGCATTCTGCTCTGTGCAGTAGACGGGTCGCGTTTGTGCCCAGGTCAAAATTTTCTTACAGTGAATTTCACACACCCCACCCCACCCCTCCCCCAGGATCTGGAGGACTATCGTACAAAGTAGGCGAATCATTTTGTAGAGTGAAGAGTGCTCACGTAAAGCAAATAGTTACCCACATTCCTTGTAAATCCAGATTTTTCTCTATTGTAGCTTTGCTTAAAATGGGGGTCTGCCCCCACTGCACGATCCTTATTGGGAGAGCCGGGGGCCCAGCCCCCAGCGTGGATGGGAGGGCAGCGACTCCGGAGGCTGTGTGCTGCCGGAAGCCTTGAGAGGCAGAGGAGATCTGTCATCCTCCATCCCTCTCTCAGATCCTGTGCCCCTCCACCCCGCAGGAGGCGGGCGAGGGAGCGGGCCCCGCGCCACCGCCCCAGGTCCCTACGCCTGCAGCAGAGAACCTCGGTGACTGAACCAACTTGCGTTGAGTGGGCGGGGCAGCTGCACCCTCCGAGCCCCGCCCACGGAGCTCTTAGCCAATCATAGACAGAGAGCATCTCCGGGCGGAGTCTGTTCCCAATCTGACCCCAGCCAGGCACATCGTGAACCGGGCTTGGGGTTCCCCAACCCCTGACGCCCAGTCGGAGCTCCCAGACGCGGGGGAGGGGCGGCAAGTGGTGGGCCAAGGGCCGGGCGGGCTAGCTCTGGAGGAGGCGGGTGGAATGGGATGAGGGCGGGGGCGGTCTGGGGCTGTAAGAGAACAGAGAATGGGGGAACTTGAGGGTGGGGGGAGGGCACCGCAGCCCTGCCACCGTCCCAGGACGGTGGGCAACTCACCCCCCACTCCCGGAGCCTCAGTTTCCCCATCCGTAAAATGATGGTAATAATACTTCACCTACCTCATAAAGGAGGTTGTGAGGCCGCCGTCACCTGACCTGGGGGTGGAAGCGGGAGGGCTCTGAAGGTGCTACCCGCGAGCAAAGTATTATTACCGTAGCCTGAAAGCAAGGCCCAGCCGCCCCTCCCCCCACGGCCTCCAGGGCTAGCCAGGCCACCTGGGCCCATCTGTCCTCACTGTGTCCCAGGTCCCTTCATGAGCGTCGTCCGCCATCTTCGTGGGCACCCTAGACTTGGTCGTTTCCTTGTTCAGGTATCTTTTCTTGTGACCATCTCCCCACATAACTGCTGTACAAATTCCACCTACCCCAGGACCCCACACCTGCCCACTGGCGCCAGACGCCAGGAAAGGGACAAGGAAAACAGCCACATAAAAGCCAAGGGGAGCCCCCCAGAGCCCCCAGCTTGGCTGGGGCCCCAGGGGTGGGGATTGGTGGCCGCTGTCTGTATTGTGTTTGAGTCCTTGAGCGCAAGTGTTTTATATAAAAAAACAAAAACAAAAACCCACTCGCACAAAAAAATTTGCAGCGAAGAGAAATGAAGAAAAATTGAAGAAAAAAAAAAAGGAAAAAAGAACCATACACAATTTTTTCCACCACACGCACCCTCTAAGCCAGCAAGATTTCCTCTTTGCAAAATCATATTTTTGTGGGAATGGGCCCTGCTTTTTGTGGCAGGGCCCGTTCTGATTAATAAAGGATCGTGAAAATGTAGGGCCTTGGCTGTTTCCTCCGTGGGTCCCAGCAGTCCCTCACCCCCCAGGGGAAGAGGCAGTGGGGTGAGGGGGATGGGGAGCCTGGGGCTGAGTTTTCCCTCGTCACCTTTGGGATTTGGCTTCACTGGTGGTGAGGCCCTTCCGGCCCATCAGATCTAGAATGTGAACCCACCCAGAAGGCAGGGGAGCAGCTACATCTGCCGGATCAGGCCTGAAGCAACGCTTGTTGGGAGTGGGGTCTCCTCGAGGTCTGAGGGGTGCCCCTCTAGCTCACCCAGCCTGACATCCCCTCCCTCAGTTCCTAGGGGACTCTCATCACTCTCCAAGGCAAGTTAGACAAACCAAAGAGGACCCTCCACCTTCCCCACCACCACCTGAACTCCGGCTGGGCCACTGTGGTTTCAGGCCAGTGTCTCCTCCTCCTTCCTGGTCCCTGTGGGGACAAGGAAAGGGCTCCGGGTCTGCTCGCTGGACCTGTGGCTTCTCTCCACCCTTTTCTGGTTTAAGCCTTTAGGATTAGAAAAGTCTCTCCAATTCAAAAGAGACCATGGCCATTCCTAGTGTGAGGACCTGGGAAGCTGGGCCGGAGGGTCTTCCTTCTCCAGCCACTGTGGCCCCTGGCAAGCCATTTCCTTCCTCCCCGTCTCAGTTCTCTGGGTCCACAAAAGAGCAATTAACCATCCCACCCTGTCCCCTTCTCTCTTCATGCACAGCCCAGGGGAAGCTGAGGCCAGGCAGCTCTCAGGGTCCTTCAGAAGGAAGGACATCTGTTACAGGCACGGAAGGAACGGGTACCCCTCCGTTGTCATGTGCCCACCCACTGGCCTCTGCCCCACCCTGGAGTGAAGGGGGCCATTGCGCCTCCTGCTCCCCAGCACATGGGGCTGGCAGCTCCTGCTTGTGCTGCAGGAACTACACCCACCTGAAGCCGCCCGCACTCTCCCTTCCTGCCCCCATCAATTCCTGACAACCTGGTTTAAATGTCCCATTCAAAGGTGGTTCTTTCTTTTGGCTTCTGATCTCTGGCCCAGAGACTGGAGGGAACCCTAGGGTCAGGTAAGTAGCCTCAAGAGCACTGCTTGCCAGAACTTCTGTTCAGGCTTTCTCTGGGAAAACAGCTCTGGAAAACTGGACCTGAAAACAGGGACAGCTCGGCCTGGCAGAGGTGGCAGCCCCTTGCTGTGGGTTTAGGGCCTCCTCCTGGACTTTGTGCCTCGTTCTCCTGCCTCCACTTCATTGGGTCTCTCTTCACCCATGCTACACCGAGAGACTCGCCATCCAGCCCTGTGCCTGGGACCACTGCCCTCTGGTGTCTCTTTCTCCTGCAAATCCCTCCTGGATTCCACTGCTTTCTGGAAGGCCATCCTGGGCTATGTGCTGCTCTCCTCTGCCTCCCTCACAAAGACAACCAGAAGGACACAGCTTGAACACACTGTATGCCCCAGCCCGTGGCACCCCAGACCATCTGTGTCCCTTGAAGATGCCCTGCTCCCTGTGTCTGTCCTTTGTGTATATGTGTGGTGTCTCATTTAGATTGTGCGCCCCGGTGGGCAGGGACCCCTGTCTGAATACACGTTCTGTGTGGCACACCTGGGTGTGTTAATAAACGTCCATCCTCTGAACAAGAGTGCCCCAGTGTCTTAAGGAAGCTCTGGGACAGATGGCTGAGTGAGCCCATGTGGTGGCATTGGAGGCAGGGAGGTGCTTCTGGGCAGGGCCCCCAGTCCCCCAGCACCCTGTTCTGCTTTCCCAAGCCCCTGAGGGTGGGCAGGAAGAGGGGGATCTTGGTAACAAAGCTAGGAAAGGATCCAACCCTCCCGCCCCCATCGCTGCTGTTCTGCAGGCCAGGAGATCTGGCTGTCGGGAGGCTCCGCGAGGAAGAACAGGTTACAACTCCCACCATTCCACACCCAGACCTGACCACCAGCCAAGGACAGAGGGGGTCTCTGTGGTGTGGACTGAGCACTGGGTTAGGAGGCCTAACACCCATTTATGGGCAAGTCACTTCCCTCCCTGGGTCTGTTCTGACGTCTCTGCTTTTCCCATCACAGTCCCCACAGCCTGCCTTCCTGCTCAAATCTGCCAACTCCCTTGGCCTCTGCCCTGCATCTCTGGCACAAACAAAACCCTTCCAGGGCTTTCCTGCCCTACTTCCCCATAGCCCACCCACTGCTGACCGCCCCTGACAACGCGGGGACCAACAGGCATGGCCGTTGTTACAGGTGCCCCTTCAAAACTTGTCTCACCTTCTCCCTGCTCCCCCGAGGCCAAGCAAGAAGTCACAGGCAGTTAGGTGGAGGGGTGGGCTAGGACTCCTAATGCCGTGCTCTCTCCATCACAGACGGGAGCTGTGATGCCCAGCTGTCCCTGGCAATAGCCCCTTTTCTATCCTGGTCTCCCCTGTTTCCATGTGGAGTCAGAGACACTCAATAGTGCTCTCAAACCGGGCATTGGCACTCACTTTAACCAAACTTCCTGGGAGTAACTGGCTCCCAATGGTGAAGGGCAAGTGAGTAGCAAAGCCAGGGACCAGGCCTCAGGATGGCCCAGGAGGGACTCATCACAGGGCCTTCGCCCCGACCTAGGTGAGTGCAGCAGAGGGAAAGGTAAAGAGAAAAAGACCAGAGAGAGGAAAGAAACCTGGGCGGTTATTCCCGGGTGACTGTGGCTTGCCTCACAATCCCCCTTCCCCTACATCTAAGATTTGCCTGCAGGGAAGGTAGACAAACACCAGGCTGCATGGAGCACTGAGCTGCAGCCTCAGATCTAAATAAACCCAATTCCTTGTGTGCAGATGGAGACACTGAGGCCCAGGGGGGCCACAACTTGCTCAGGTCACTTGGTCAATAGCAGAACCAGGACTGAAACCCATGCCTTCTGATTCCAGGCCCAGGGCTATTTCCCCTATGCCATGATATGAGTCACAGGGCAAGACGACAGTCTCTAGGGGGCCACAGCTCCTACCCGCCTGAGTGATCTGAGATCTCAAATTTTTCCTTCAAGTTCCCAGACCCCAGGAAGGTCCACTGGCCCTGATGGAGCCTCGACAGGGGGTGCAGGGGCATCCTGAGGAGCCCTGGGAGGGACAAGGTTTGCAGCCAACTCCAGACCCCTCTTCTTCCTTGAGAAGGAGGCAGCCTCCAAACTTCCCCACCCCGCCAGCTCTTTCCACCCATTCAAGGCCTTCACGCTGGCAAGTGACTGCTCCAGATCCATCCCCAGACTCTTCCTCACCCAGGCCCCGCCCAGTGGCCAGCAGAGCTGCTGGGCAGGGCTTGACCTTTTGGACTCCTATGACATCAGCCCTGTTGCTATGGTGATGGGGGGCCTGGGAGCAAATTCTCCTGGGACATGGGCCTCCAGGCTTGCACTTTTACAATTTTCTTCCTTTCTTTAAATCTTTTTCTTCCCAACAATGAGGAGAGAAAGTAATACCATGACTGAGTCAAAAAGAGACTAAGACAGGGAGGGAGAGAGGAAAATGGAGCGAGGGAGATAGAAGGAGGGAAGAAGAGTCACAGAGGGGGAGGAAGGGGGTTGGTCCTAGTGAAAGAATAGAGAAAGGTCAGCTCAGCTTGAGGGAGATTCAAAAACATTTTGAGTCTGGAACCTGAGAATTAAGCCGAAGGAGCCCGAGGGAGCGGGGTGGGGCACTGGGAGGCAGAGAGTAAGACTCAGCAAGACCAGAGATCAGCCTCGAGCAGCCAAAGCCATTTGTGACTGAGGATAATTACTTGTTCCCGAGACAGGACACGACAGTTGGCCGGGGCCAGCCTGGGCACGTGGACAGAGGGCAATGCCAGAGAGAGCCCAGGGTCCCCACAGCGATGGGACCCAGCGCTCCCAGGGCTTATAAATAAACAGCCATGTGGGAAACGCACATTCTTTCTCCAAGAAATATAATTTATGTTTACAGCCAGTTTTTTTTGTCTTCCTAAAGAAAACATTACCAAGTGGGGCCCCTGCCCCTGACAGTGTCCCTGAGTGTCCCTGGCTCTGGCCCCCTCCTCCCATTATTGCTTAGATGGGAAAGATCTGGCGCTGGGAATTGCAAAGCGAGGCCCCACTCATCACCCCCTTGGGGCTGTCCCTGGTGACGGAGTAGAGGCACACAATGCTCGTCCCATGCCCCACGCCGTGCCAGCCACCCTGACGGTGCCCATTTAAGGGAATGGAGAGTGCAGGCAGTGGGAGAGGTGCTGGAGCAGCCTCTCAGAGCAGAGAGCCTCTCTCTTGGGTGCAGGAGGCCCTAGAGGCACAGTGGCTTCTTTTCAAACTTGACAGCTGGAAGGCTCAGGCTGTAGGGAAGGGAGGGAGTTCTCTTCTCCCAGCAAGTTTCCAGGCACAAGCTGGGAGAAGAGAACAGAATAAAAGGCAGTAGTGGAGACCTTGCCTTCTAAGCTCTCGCTTCCCCGTACAAATTTTAGGGGCCCTAGAGAGGGAGGTATGTACGGTAAGTCCTGGCGGAGGGGCAAGGGCAGCTGTGGTGTTAGGACCCCAGCCTCAGTTTACCATTTCTGTCCTGGGCACGGGCCCCGACTCCAAGCCCCTGCCCCTGGGCCGGGCCCTCCTCCAAGGGCAGTTCTGCCTCCTGCAGACATTCGGTCCCCCCAGAGGCAGTGGCTCCTGCACCAGAAAGTGTGGGTCTAGGAGACCCAAACTCCAGGAGGGAGGTTGGTGGGTGCCCCGGGCGTCCGGACTCAGCCGAGGTGGTGATTCGTGGACAGCGGTGACCCTGGTTCCGGGAGGAAGCTGGCACCTCTGTTGTACTGTCCATGACTCTATCAGAGACTGGACAGGGCCAGGACTTCTTGCTCGGAGGGACTGTCCAGAGATTGGCCACGAGGCAGTCTTCTTACTACCCAAGAAGATGGCCCCCAGGCCTACCTGTCCCCGACAGCTGGCCCAAAGTGGTCCCTCCTCTGCCCCAAGTAGGGGCCCACCGGTCCCACAGACCTTCCCAGAGCCCATCCTCCCACAGTGGCCGAAGTCCAACACTCAGAGCATAGGCTCAGGTGCCCAGTCCTGGAGCGGCTTCCAGGGCGCGGAGGCTGCCCCTGGGGGGCCCCAGAGGCCGAGAGCCCCCACCGCCTATAAGCAAGTCTTCTTCCTCCTCATCCTCGAAGGCCCGCGCTGGGCGCCGGGGTGGCGGCCGGGGCGTGGGCTCGTCGCGCTCGGCCATGCGCTCGACGGCGCCCTCGCCCACGAGGAAGACGGTGTCAGCGACGCGCGGGGGCCCGGTGACCGGGTTGTGGTCGTAGGAGAAGACGCGCAGGGCGCGCAGCGGGTGCAGGTCCGGGAAGCCGCCCAGGCGGTTGCGGTCCAGGTCGAGGATGTGCAGGCGGCCCATGCGCAGCAGCGCGGGCGGGAACTCCTCGAAGCGGTTGCCGTAGAGCCAGAGGCCGCGCAAGCCGGTCATGCGCGGCAGCTCGGCGGGCAGCGCGCGCAGCCGGTTGTCGCCCATCTGCAGCGACTGCAGCGCCACCAGGCGCAGCAGCGGCCGCGGGAAACGCCGCAGGAAGTTGCCTTCGATCCAGAGGCAGCGCAGGCTCTGCAGCTGCGCGAAGTCGGCGGGCAGCGCCAGCAGCCTGTTACCGCCCAGGTAGAGGCGCGTGAGGCTCGGCAGGCGACACAGGCCGTCGGGCAGGCGCTCGAGCTTGTTGAAGTCGAGCGCCAGGATGCGCAGCTCGCGCAGCTCCTCGATCTCCTCGGGCAGCTCGCGCAGCCCCGTGCCGCTCACGTACAGCTTCTGCAGGCGGCTCAGCGCGCACACGGCGCTGGGCAGCCGCCGCAGCCGCCTCCCGCTCAGCTCCAGCTGCTGCTCGCCGCTGCGCAGCTGCTCCTCCGCGTCCGACGGCAGCTCGTCCGGCGTGGACTCGGCGATGCCCATGGTCACCGGCCCCGGCCGGGGCCGCCGCCGCCCGGCATATCCCCGCCCTGGCCGACCCCCGGCCTCCCCGACGGGGCCCAGGCCGCAC